GCTCCACGCAGTCCCGCACCGCCTGCAGCACCACGCGCAGCCTCCGGTCCAGGGCCTCGAGGTGCAGCTGGTATAGCACGGGCGCCACCTTGTCCCTCTGCAGGGACTCGGCCATCAGTCTGCTCAGCTTGTACTCCTCCTTGGCCAGCAGCTGCAGCCGCAGGTAGGTGGACTTCCGAATCCTGGGAAGGAGACGGTGGTCAGGCCCTGGCGCCCGCCTGCCGGAGGCCTCCCCTCGGGGAGGAGGTGGCCCGTGTGTTGCCCCAGAGGAGCCGCCTGGCTGAAGGATGGGGAAGGAGGAAGACGGGGAAGAGGGCGGCCCGATCCCCCGGGGACGGCTCCCAGCTCACATGTCCACCTGGCAGGTGAAGGCTGAGATACCTCCTTAGAGAGGCGCAGCCCCCTCTGCCCTGCAAGCTGAGCCCTGGCCACTGAAGGGAGACCCTGGGCTCAAGAGCCCCGTAGGAGGTGGCAGAGGGCCCAGTCGGCGGCCGCTCCAGGGGAGCAGGCCCTCTGCGTCCAAGCCAGTCACCCACCCAGCCTCAGTGTCCTTTCTGCAACGGGCAGTGGCACGGACGCGGAGCCAAGGCCGAGACAGCTTGAGCCAGACAAGCCTCAGCACAGGAGGCGGTGGGGAGCGGGCTGGGGTCTGAGTTGATACGGGCTGTGGATGCCGCTCCTCTCAGGCATGCCAGCAGGCAGGCAGGTGGCCCTGGGCTCCTCTGCCCCTGCCCCGTGGGGCTCTGGCGGAGAGGGCGGGATGGCGGGAGGGCTGTACCTGCAGCACTGCTGTAGAGGCACCAGGATGGACAGCTCATCATGCGAGTATTTCCCGAACCTCGGGAGAGAAGAGGAACTGTCAGGGCCCCTGTGGGAGGTCCCGGCCCACTGCCTGGCTGTGAGGGACATGGGTGTCCCGCTGGGCATCTTCCTCCCCCACAGGAGCAATCTCGGGCCCTGGCCACGTGGCAGGTGCCAGGACTCCTGCCCCCTCTCAGGTCCCGTGCGCGTCTTGCCTGCTCCCAGCGTCCTGGGCAGTAAGTCCATCCCCAACTGTCCTTCGCATCCTGGGCAGTGTCCTGCCCCAGTGTCCCTGCCCACCTGTCCCCGCCCTCAGTGTCAGTTCTGGCCATCGTCCTGGGGAACAGGGCAAGGGAGACGGCCCAAGGAAGGGTCCGCCCACGGTTTTGCCACAGTGGCATCTTTTTAGTAGGGCACATGTGACCACAGGCAAACTACTCGGGTGCCCAAGCTCCGGTCTCTGAGGCATCCAACCCTGGGGTCAGACATCCTCTTGCCCGGATTGCACGCTTCCCTGTCCATTCCTCGGGGGCCACTTCCTCCCGGGTGACCAGGGCCTCATGGTACAGCCCAGACACCCGGTGATGGGCCGGCAGTGGCTGCAGGCTGGGGCAGGGTGGCTGTTGTCCACAAGCTGGCTGGGCCCAGGTCCCGCAAGCGGTAGAGGCCCATCTGTGGGACACAGCCTTGCTCAACTCCCTGGACCTTAGTTTCCTGAGGTAACGCCAGGCTCTCCCAGCACACACTTTCCATCTCAGGGTCACTGCGCCGTGGAGGCCTCACCGTCAGGCGGCCCCCCCCAACCGGGGGCCTGGGGCTGCCCCCGCAGCTGGCAAGGGATGGGCCTTGGGGACATCCATACCCTGCCTCTGCCAGACCCATTTCCTCCCAGGTCTCGGCTCCCGAGAGTGGGCGAGGGGGTGGTGGCCTCACGGGCGCAGGGGCAAAGCAGCCTCACCCTCTGCCATTGTCCAAGTGGATGATAAATGTCTCGTTCCCAAACTTCTCAAAGGTCTCGTAGTGGTGGCGGTCCATGTTCCCTGGAAAGACAAGCGGCGTTGCGCCTTCTGGAAGCCTGGCTGCAGCCCGGGGGCCCTGGCTCCTGGCCGGGTGTCTTCCTCCCTTCCAGGGGCAATCTCGTGCCGTGACGCCCGCCCCCTCTCAGGTCCCGTGCTCCCCTGCAGGACCTACCCATGAGGAAGTCGAAGATGGTCATGTCCATGACGTCCAGGACGCGGTGGCTGCTGTCGTAGGGTGGGGTCTGCTTCACCTCCTCGCAGTAGTCAGGGTCCACCTCCCACCTGTAGGAAGCCAGTGTGAGGTGGCTGCACCCTTTCCCCACCGAGAGCCTGGAGCCAAGTCCCGGGACGACCAGCTGGGGTGTGAGGGGCCGTATGTTGACACGGCAGCAGGAACCTGAGACATGCCTGCTGCGTCAGCTGCAGCCTAGGAGGCAGCGTCAGCAGCAACGTGGATGGGTTCCGAGTCTCTCCGACACTGTGATCCGTCACAGAAACAAAGAACTCCCCCTCCTCAGCCGACCCTGAACACTGACCATAATGCTACGAGCAAGGGACTGGCAGTAGCGGGACACAGCCGTCGGGGTGGGGGTTGGGGGCGCATCAGTAAGGGTGCCTGACCTCAAACCAGGCGAAATGGAGGCCAAAGGGAGGCCCAGGCTTCACCTGAACGATGACCACTTGTATACCTAATCCTGAATTGTGCCCGTCTTTACAATAAGACACAACCAAAACCAAAACAAAGACAAAAAACAGAAACACGGGAGGGGATCGAGCCGCTTCACCTGCCCGGGAGGAGCTCGTCTGGAGCTGCTGTCAGCTCAGGGCACCATGTTTTGGTGGTCTCTGCTAAGAAACAGGGCCTGGGCCGGGCACAGTGGCTCAGCCTACCATTCCAGCACTTTGGGAGGCCGAGGCACGTGGACGGCCTGAGCCCACGGGTTCGAGACCCGCCTGGACAACTAGGCGAGGCCTCGTCTCTACAACAGATCAAAAATTAGCCAGGCATGGTAGCATGTGTCTGTAGTTTCGGCTACTTGGAAGGCTGAGGCGGAAGGATGGCCGGAGCCCAGCAGGTCGAGGCTGCGGTGGCCGGGAGCGTCACCAGCCTGGGCAACCGAGTGAGACTCCAACTCAGAAAGAAAAAAAGAAACAGAAAGAGGGCCTGGACACCACCCTCGAAGGATGCCCGGGCGCTGAGGGAACAGGGGCCTGAGGGATGGGAGGGGCAGGCGGGGAGTGGACGCGGCGACCAGACCCGAGAAGGACCCGGCGGCCAGCCAGGTGGAGAAGCTCACCCAACGCTCAGCCGGGGGGGCCGCCCAGCCACCTGGCAGGTGGTGCCACATCAGGCCTGAGGGAACCGCCCCCTCTGCCGCCCTCCCCTCGGCGCTCGTCCGCGGCCCCACGGCCGTCCCCGCCGCCCACTCACTCGGCCTTCTTGCGCTTGTGGTAGGAGCGCCGCCAGGGGTTGCGCCAGGTCTTCCTCTTGGCCAGCGACAGGTCGGGCAGGAAGGCGGCCAGCGAGCCCTCGATCTGGTCCGGCTTCCCACACAGCGCGTGCTCCGTGGAGCAGTAGTAGGAGCACTCGCCGTAGAAGCAGATGTTGTTGGCTGGGAGGGACAGACGCCGGTCACCCGGGCCACTCGGCGGCGGCCCCAGCCCTCGGCCGTGTCGCCCTCCCTGACGTCTCTGGCTCAGGCGTCCACGTCCCATGGCCCTCAGGGCCGCACTGGGCGCCACGGTCGCTTCCCGTGGCAGCACTCACCCGCGTTCCCACATCACGCTCAGCAGACACCTCCAGCCCACGACCCGGAAAGTGGAACCCTGGGAGGCGGCCGCCCAAGGTCACACGGGAGATGGCAGGCTGGGGCCTGGGCCCTAGAACCCAGGACTGGAGTCTACGGAAATGCCCGTCAGCGTTCACTGGCTTACAGAGGCATTCCTACCACGAAGGAAGTGAGCAGACAGCCCAGAGTGGGAGAAAGTGTTTGCGATATCACTCATGCAAGTAGGACCCCGCATACGGAACCTCTCGAGACTCCATAACAAAACGACAAATGACCCTATCAGTAAATGGGCCGGGGACTCAGATGGACGTTTTCCCAAAGAAGATACGTGAGTGGTCAACAAGCTCACAAAAAGGCCTCAGGGTCACCCGTCATCAGGGAACGCAACTCATGTCCTCAGCGAGATGTGCCTCCTGCCCCTGGGATGGTTTTGGTCAAGAGAGATGACGGTGCTGGCGAGGACGGGACAAGCCACAACCTCGTGCACAGCTGTGGGAGTGTGACAGCGCAGCTGCCGGGGCGGGGTGCGTGGTGGCTCCTCCGGTGGGTAAACAGAGTCGCCCGTGATGCCGCAGCTCCACGCCCAGATGTATACCTCAGATCACTGAAGACACCGTCGGCAGAAAGCCTGTGTGGGGATGCTCAGAGCAGCACTGCTCAGTCGAGAACGAGAAACGATCCAAGTGACCACTGCGGATGAGCAGACAGGCAACGTGTGGTCCATCCACACGACGGAGAACCACACAGCCACGAAAAGGAAGGAAGCTCTGACACAGGCCGTGGGTGGGTGAGCCTTGAGGACGCTTGTGCCGGACACACAAGGCCTCATGCTGTGTGAGTCCACTCATGTGAAATGCCCCAGACAGGCAAGTCCGGAGGCAGCCAGGACTGTGGTTGCCTAGGGCGTGGAGAGGGAGGACCTCGAGCAAGCGTCCAGGGAAGAGGTTCCTTCTGGGGTGAGAAAAAGGCTCTGAATTTAGTGGATGTTCAACTTTGAGGACAGACTAAACATGACTGAATTGCACACCTATTCGAATGGTGGATTTTATAGCACGTGAATTGTACCTCAGTACAAAAAGAATAATTTTTGTTTGTGTTTTGAGTTGGAGTCTCACTCCATTGCCCAGGCTGGGGTGGTACAGTGGTACACTCACAGTCACCCAGCATCGACCCACTGGGCTCCGGCGATCCTTCCACCTCAGCCTTCCAAGCAGCCAGAACTACAGATGCGCACTACCACGCCTTTTTTTGATTTATTGTAGAGACGAGGTCTCGCCAAGTTGCCCAGGCTGGCCTCGAACCCGCGGGCCCAGGTAATCCACTCGCCTCGGCCTCCTGAAGTGCTGGGATGACAGGCTGAGCCACCGAGCCCGGCCAAAAAAAGAATAAATTTTAAGATGCAAGTGCCAGCTGTCCAGGCCAGTGGGAGGTGGGGTTCGTGGCTTCACTGCCGGAGGCCTGGAGGCCTTGGCCTTTGCTATGGACTGATCAGAGGCCCAAGGGCATCTCTCAAGCTTTGTCTGTGGAGTCACCCTGGGAAGCTTGGGTGTGGAGCTGGAGAGGATGCCCCTGCACGCCCTTCTGGTGCCCTTCCTCCCGCCGGCCACTGCCAGTGGGCTGAGTGGGTCCCAGGATCTTTCTGGAGCTCCCCGAGTCTCCAGGCTGCAGGACACACTCTGCAGGGCGTGAAGGCTGAGCAGGGCACTTCCTGGTCGCAGCAACCCAGGGTGGGGGCAGGAGGTGGCCAGTCCAGGCTGCCCCTCACAGATGAGGGAAGAGCCAGTGCCAGGCCGCCCAGAGACCCCCTCTTCAGTCCTGCAGGCCTGGACTGAATGACCTGGCATCCGTCCCCCGTCTCTCGCCTCTGCACCCGCAGCATCAGGCCATTACTGTAGGAATGCTCAAGCAAAGGCCAGCTGCGATCTGGGCTGCACGTTGAAACGAATTAATCTGCCACCCACAGTCAGACGAGACAGCCCAGCTGAGGCTTCGGCTCTGTTTCAGGAGGAGCGTCTCCATCTGCTCCCTCATGGGCTGCAGCCATAAGACCCATCCACATGGCGGCCTCCCGTCCACCTAAGCCGGCTTTAGATGGTATCAAGGGAAAAGGGAGAGGTATTTTGAGGCTTGTGGCTTTGTCCTCAGCCGAGATCCAAGTTTGCCGTGGGCTGTGGGTCAATGTCAGAAACCCCCTCCCCGCCTCCATGTACAAACTGGACACCGTGTGTGCAGAGCCCTGACGGCCACCTAGCCAGACTCAGTTCCTGCAGCTGGAAAAAGTCTGCTTGACGATGGCCGGCCTGTCCACCCTGGGTCAAGGCTGAGGGACCCGCTGATGCCCGGGCCAGGAACGGCATCGAGGCACTCAGCTGCAGATGCACGGAGTTGTGGCGGACGGCTGGTGCACCTTCTTGATGCTGCCAGCATGTTTACACAAGAACTGGAGGAGTGGGTTCTGGAAGCGTTTGGAGCTTGGAAGATCCAGCCTCCAGCCATGCTGCCTCTGCAGCTGCGTGGCATTGAGCACGGCACACCCTCTCTGAACACGAGTTCCACAGCCCTCTGCCCTGGGCGCCGCCTGGGGCTGGTGGGGCGGGGGTTCCCAGGCTTCCCTCCCTGCTAACTCTCCTCTCGGCCCCTCACCTGGCAGATGGATTTCCCCTTTTTGAGTGACCCTAGAGGAGGTCCACGGGGCCTAGGGAAATCTGCAGTGGGTTCAGCCATGCTGGCATCCGTGGGCCTGGGAGGGCAGGTGACATGATCACTTCCCAGCAAAGTTTGTCCTATGCTGAGATGAAGGCTGGCTCTGTGGACTGTGGCCTCAGAGAAAGCCACACATTCCCAGGGCCTTCCTGAAGGTCTGGCTACAGGGCAGGGCAGCAGGGTGGGAACAGCAGTTCAGGGAGCTGTGCCCAGAAGTGACCAGCCGGGCTGAGCCGGCAGCCCAGTGCCCTGTGGAGGTTCAGGGGTGCATCTCGCCCAGGCAGTGCGAGCCAGCTCTGGGCCAAGGAAGAGTCTTGGGACTTCAGGGACAAATCCGAAGCTGCCCTGGAAAACGTAACGAAAACTGGAAACCGCAAGTGGCAGATTGAGCTGTGAGGACTATTTGGAGTGATGGCTCTCATCAGATAGGAGACACCAACCATGATGCCAGTGGTGGGCACTGGCGGCCTTGAATCCAGGGCACAAGGGATTCACCCCAGTGACAGGCAGGCCTTGCCCACTCAGTGGGGAAAATTCCAAACATCACTCAACAAGGGACGTGGATGTCTTCATTTATCTGCTTAGACTAAAACTGGCTGGCCTTCTGTTTAATTTTAAAAAAACCAGAAAGAGGAATCCACAAACTCTTACTGTGGCAAGTGCAACTAAAACATCAGGTGGGAAACGCAGGCGCGGGACGGCCTTGAGAGCCCCCGTCAAGGTCAAGGCTGTATTTGCCTGGTGGGTGACGGCAGCCCCTGGGTGAGGGGAGGCATGCCCGGCGCAGACGGGTCTCCATGAGCTCTCCCTGTCGCTCAGGCCCACGCCCAAATCCCATCTGTGAGACGCCCACTGGCAGGAGAATGGACACAGGGCAGGACGTCCGTCCCACGGAGCTGTGTCCACAGTCAGAGGACACACACTGTGGACATGAGACAACACGGGTGAGTCTCGGGGCCGAACAAGAGGAGCAGATGCAGCTGCACGTGGGCCGACTGCAGGAGAAGCACCCGCCCGAGACAGGGCTGCAGGGCTGCCCGGAGGCGGAGTGGCTGCTTGCTGCCCCGGCTGTGGCGAGGGTCGCGCCAGCATACACTGACAGTGACTGGAGCGTGGCAAGCTGTGAGCTCGTTTTGCCAACAGACCCACCCCAACAGACTTTCACAGTGGGGTGAGGGACCAGCTGTCCCAAGCCTGCCCTGAGGACTCCAGGGGGCGTTCCGGAAGTGCGTGGGGCAGGCGCTCAGCTTGTTCTTGGAGCTTATCCCTGGGCGGGTCTGTCACCTGGAACCCTTGGCCCTCTCTAGCTGGGGCCAAGGTGCCCCAGGGGACGCCATGAGTGTGAGAGGCAGAGAGCACAGGCCTGGCCTTGTCCCCAGGCGGTGGGACTTCCTGGAAGGCTCTCCTGGACTGTACATGCCAGCTGGCAGGAGCTGTGGCCTGTCCGAGGGCGCTGGAGGGCTGTCCCCGGGCCCAGTGCCACGGAGGGTCCACTCCTCTGCCCATCACCTGGCCGCTGAGTGGGCTCTGCCCTTGCAGGAGCACATTTCGGGCCAGAGTGACGTCATCCAGCCTGCGTGGCCTATCCAGGGCGGGTTCTCAGCAGTAATGGGGGAGCTTTGATCCCCCTGACCCTGTGACTCTCTCTGCAGGTGGCTGTGACTGAGAGCTCAGAAATCAGGCCTGGAGAAGGCTGGTGATGGCCAGCGGGCCCCCGAGAGAAAGAGTGTTGGTTTCTTCGCATTTGAAACCTTTGAAATGCATCACTATTACAGTGACAGCAAAAGTTTGCAAAAAGACAAGGATAGGAGACCCCCAGGTGCAGCCACCAGGGTGCGTGTGATCAGCCAGTGGTCAGTCACTGCACCCAGTGGGAGAAGGGGGAGTGCTGGGCAGCACAGGTGCTGGGAGGCTGAGGCCAGAGGACGGGAGGTCAGGGTCAGGCCCCGAATCCCCGAGGGGCTCCGAGTGCTGTGGGACCCCAGCAGGAAGCCCTGGACTCCCAGGCTGGGGAAGCTGGCTTCAGCCCTTACAAGGACCTTCCTAACAACTCAGCAGCGTGACAGGGATGGAATCGTATGTGAGTCCCCAAGCCTCTGTGGCTGGGGCCGTGTGAGCCACTGCCGAGGCCCAGCCGGGCAGCAGCTGACGGTGAGCCCTCAGCCACCCCACACGGCCTCCCGTTCTGCCCCCAGTCCTGGTCTGCGGGGCCGGGAGCCGGTAGACCCAGGGAAGAGGGACATTCCTCCTGCCTCTTCAGGGATTCTGTCCTGCTTTTTTCTCTTAGTTCTGGGCTCTTAGGGGAAGACACCATGCAAGGAGCTCGGTGAGCCCTGGATGATGAGATGGAGCTTAATTATGGATTCGCAGCCCCTGGTTCTGACACATCTATGGAGCAATTAAGCAGAAACACGGAACCCTGCACACTGATCTGAAACGTCTCCAGAAAGCAGCTTTGGGCTGAGCTGTCTGTGCAGCAAATCTGAAGACGCAGCAGATCGAGGCCGTAAGCGAATCTTAGCGGCATGGACTGAGTCGAGGGGCAAGGGGACACAGTCAGAGGTGCCTTCTGGGGGGGGCGAGACTGTCCATCGCAGGCACCTCTGGGGTTGGGGGGCGCGCTTTGAAGGGCCTCCTGTGCTGGGGCTGTGCTGGTCACGTCATTCCACATTTCCCCGGGACCAACATTCGGGCCTGGAACACAAGTGGCAAAGTCCAGGGGAGGGAAGAGGCTTCCCCAGAGCTCGTGCCAGGTGAGGGGATCGGGTGACCCACCACTCAGTGGCCTGGCGCCGAGTAGGCACTCAGGGAGGAGTGTGGGTCCATCCACGGAGCCTCGAACGCCAGGCTCAAAGCGACCCAGGCAGATAATGGAGTAGAAAATCCCGTGTTTTTGTGTGCACTTAGGATGCACCGATTTAGAAGCACCAGCACCGACAAACACGTCTCCACTAACAGGCAGGGTGTCCCTTGCTCACCCTTCGGAGGCTCCAGGGACAATATGCTGTCCGTCACCAGCTGCTCAATCAAGGAAGGGGAGGCTGCCCAGCCTGTCACTTGGGGGGCGTTTAAACCCGAGGGTTAGAGGACAGAGATTTTCCTGGCTGGGCTGCCTGGAGGAGGCTTCCTGGAGAGGCTGCAGTTTCCCAAAGTGACTCATGTCACCTTCGACAATAAAGAGACGGCAGTGACAGCCTCCTGCGGCCAGGGGATTGGCCAACGATGACAGTGCCACCCTAGGGGGCGCGGGTGGGTGTGGGAGGGGCATGGCACGGGCCGGGGGAGGCAGCCAGCCGGTAATGGCATCGCACACGGTCCCCTTCTGTTCGGAGGCGACTAAGCCTTGCTTGTTGGCCAGTGGCCCCTGGGGGACCTACCTGGAGAGATGAAGAAGGTTCTCCACAGCTTCTTGTCGCGGGTGACATCGCGGATTTCCTTGGTCATGTTGACCATCCTGCCGGCCACAGGGGGGACGCGGCGGAAGTCCAGGATCCTGAGGAGCAGGGGGAGGGGAGGGTCTGTGCTCTGCGGCAGGGTGAGCCCTGCCCACCGCCGCGTGAACCTGCTCTGGGGCTGAGGCTCTGCTGGGACGGCGGGACCGGGCCGAACAGGACGCAGGAGGGCAGGGGCTGGCGACGCCACACTGTCCAAAGGACCCAGACAGGCCTCCCCCCTGGGCTGGTGTCCAGCAGAATTAAGCCAAACCAGCCACTTCGAACGGGCTCCTGAGCTGCACTGCGTGCGGGGCCGCCTGCCTCAGGGAAGGGGACGTGCGGCATGTGAGATGTGAGCTTCTGCGGCCATGGGACGTGGCGATGGCCGACACCACCCCCGGGAGAGGGGACCCGGCATGGGGGGCCAGGGCCCGGCCTGCCCAGGTGGCCGCGTGGGACGCCCACCCTCTCACGGCTGCTGGCGGGCCCGGGGGCGGGGCTGTGCTGTCCTGCTTCATTAACAGGTCTCTCCTGGGGCGGGAGGGGTCCGCGTTTCCTAGAGCCTGACCGCGATCCTTCTGTTCCCCCAAAGGCCCCCCGCTAGATTTGGGTTGTTCTAGATGGCTGAAATTGTTGAAAGTCGGACTTCTGTGGCCACCGCGTAAGACCCCGATCTTAAAAAAACTTTCAAACTAACGTACGTGTGGATGCCCTGGGAACTTGCATAAAGGCAGGTTCGTGACTGGAGTTCTACACGGGAGCCCGGGACTCTGCATTCTGATCAGCCCCCGTGATGCCACCTGGGCTGGGACACGGCTGCAGGCTGGGAGGACCCAGAGGCCAAGGGCAGTGCCTCCTTCCCGCCACTGCATCTCTGCGGGGTCTCTCATGCCTCTGGACCCAGGTCAGGCCTGTGACCGATCCTGAAGGCACCAAAATCTGAGCCCAGAGGCGGCTGAGAAGTCACACGCCGGCCACTCCACCTCCCGCCTGTAGGGGCCGCGGGGAACCCCGAAACAGGTTCGCATTCGGCTGGGGCAGAGCTGTCCCGGGGAGACAGGTGACCACAGGGCCTCCCAGTTTCCTCACAACGAGCACCACTTCCTCCAGGAAGCCTCCTTTGATCTCCCAGGGAAGCGTGTGCCTTGTTATTCCCTGTGCTGGAGCGCGCAGCCCCGAATACTCTCCCCGTCCCTCCCCTGCTCCTCGCTTTTCTCCAGTCCTGGCTCTTCCAGGACCCTCCCCGCCTCCCTCTGACTGCCTGGCAGGTAGGGGGCGGGTGCGGGCACCCGGGGGGAGCCCACCTGGATGTTAGTGCCCGAGGGCTGGGACCACCTCCCTCTGAGAAAGAGGAGGGTTCCAAGCGTGGGTCTGTGGGCACGCAGCTTCTCACAGGGCCTTAGTTCTCCCGTCTCGAAAATGGGCACAGAACTAGCCGGGCTCGGTGGCTCAGCCTGTCATCCCGTGCCTTTGGGAGGCTGAGGTGAGTGGACTGGCTGAGCCTGCGGGTTCGAGACCCGCCTGGGCAGCAAGACCTCATCTCTACAATAAATCAAAAAATCAGCCGGGCGTGGTAGCGCGCGCCTGTAATTCC